CAGGATCTGATCAAAGGAGGTGGGTACTAGATACACTTTAGAAAGGTTTCTTGTGTAAGGTTATTATCGTCCACAAAAAGTGTGTAAGGGGATTTGGGCCAAAGGTTGGGTGGTAAACTATGTATTAAGCCAACTTATTTCAATTATTTGTTGCAATAGAAGAGGAAAACGGTGATATCAGCGAAAAGGCTTTGTGGAATCAGCCGAAGGAAGAGTTGAAAAAGTTGGAGCGAGTAACAAATTTATGGTGTTGAGTTCTTTATTGGATGCTTAAGCAAATTGGATTGTGATGTATTTTTTTCTAATTTGATCAAATAAATTTTGTATTTAAACATTAATTAATAATATGCTCTTATCGCAATTTAAACTATATTCACCCCCATAACTTGTCAAATGTACTAAAATTTGATCCATATAAGTTAATTAGATTTAATTTCTACGTGCAGATCCAAATGCCTAGATAACAATTTTTCCTACGACAATTGAAAGTTTCTGTTGGTTCTGTTGGTTTGCAGCCATCTAATTATTATAATATATTAGAAATCATTCGATTGAGTATATGTTCCAATGCATAAAAATTAAACATCTTGCTAAAATTTACGAGAGCTATTCAAAATTTACTCTAATATTGAAAAAATATTAGATCAATAAATACTAGGATGGTACGTTGCCTTATTTATAAGTTTGAATCAATTTTTGGAATTATGCATGCTTGCGACATTCAAGACCGATTCTCAAATATAGAACACATATATTGAAACTACAATAGAACTATAGGACAAAGTCTCTTTATTTATTGAGCTAAATAGAAGCATCATTCATTATTGTTAGCAACTTGTACTTTTCTTTAATTGTTATTAACACAAACACATTTTAAAATTATGTTTATGTGATAAAAACTTTTTTTACTTATTTATATAGGGTACACACGCATCGCGCGTACCCAGAACTAGTATATATATATAATGTGTCTTGCTACTTACCTTTTCAATAAAGTGACAATTTAAGAAACCAGATAATTATGTATTAGCATGAAATATTACAAGAGTAATGAGAATTTTTTTTTTTTTGGTAACTAAATATTTTATTTATCACCAAAAGTAGCTTTACAAAACAATAACTAACTAACACAGTTAGCTAAAACTTTCTGATCATCCTCTATAGCTAACTAGAGTCTAAAAGTATGGACTATTTCTCTAGTTTTTGCTGATGCTCTCATACTACAAATACAAGCAATTTCTAGCTATTGATTCACTATTTCTATATATTTTCTCAAATATTCTCATATTTCTCTCTATCCAAATACTATGAACAAATTCTGTATATATCATCTTGAATATCTGTGCAGTTTGATTCTTCCCTTTAGCTCTTTTAATAATCTCCAGTTGATGCTGCTGCCAAACTCTTGCAATCAATTGTTTGCCTTGTGCCCACTGGTTCACTCTGTGCCATACTTCTTTAGCAAGGACACATTCCAAAAATAGATGCTATGAGTTTCCTCAGCATTTCTGCACATGACACATTGTGTATCCATTACCAAACCCCATTTTACTAACCTATCTGTGGTTAGTAATCTGCCTTGTAGTTGTAACCATAGTGTAAACTTTGCTTTAGGTCGAGCTGCATTGTTAAACATCATGCCTTTCCATGGTACTCTTGTATCCTCACCTATCAGCTGGACATATATTTGTCTTGTAATGCTCTTTCCTTTCTTGAATCTCCAGTGCATTCCATCAAAAATTGTTCTGGCTTCCATGATCTTTCTAGTCATCCAGCATGCTTGTTGTGGAATTGTCATTGTTTCTATTGCTTGGCCTTTAATGTAGTACGCATGAATCCACTTTATCCATAGCTTATCTTGCTTCTGAGCAAGATCCCAAAAGCTCTTTGCTATAGCAGCTTTATTTCACTTCTGTAAATTTGCCAAGACCAGGCCTCCAACACTCTTTGGAGCACATACTCTTTCCCATGATACTAAAGATTTCTTACTGATGGTGTTGCAGCCAGACCATACATATCTGCGACAATAAGCGTCAATGGTTTTCAAAACTTTGGCAGGCAGTACAAAGAGTTGAGCCCAGTATGCTTGGACTCCTAATAGGACAGTTTGCACCAGCTGTACTCTTCCTCCATAAGATAACTTCTTTGCTTTTGATCACGCCCAACTCTAGTCCTAAAAAGGATAAGCGGTCACTGCAAATTTCACCCCTAGCCACAAGTCATCCCCGTATTTTGCCACATACGTGGGTTCGGTCCTCCAAGGCCTGTTAGAGCTCTCTTCAACCTGCTCATGGCTAGATCGATCAGTTTCGGGTCAAATAGGAAGAACTAGAAGATTCCACCTCTGGAAAGCGCCTACACCTAATTAATCCGGTCTAAAAGTCCGGAGTCGAATCCCACAGGGAACTAAGGCTTAGCTACAGTTTTTCACTATCACCAAGAACACAAGCTTGAACAATTCCTAACTTATAGATATTAAGATTCTTGTGTTTAACTAACTAACTAACAAATTAAAATAATAAATTAACACTAAAGATACTACAGGTTGGAAAAAAGATTAAGGAGGTCTAGCGTTATGATTTCCCCAATTGTCGGAATCCTTTCCGCTATGTCTTCTATAATTTCGCCTAAGTATTCTCTACCGATCATGAGCGCTCTGCGTGTTGTAATTCTCTACTGAGTAATTACGACAATTTGCTAGACATACTCTCCCGAGTTACGCTAGCTGGCTTTAATTACAGCTCACCTAGATTGCACCCAAGATTTCGTTATCCCTAATCCCACCTTTAAACCCTTGGTTATTGATTCCTCACATACGTCGGGAGTGATGTTGTTCAACAACTACCTAAATATACACTCTCTCCCGAGTAATACATACTAAATAGGCACAGCTAATTGAGGGCCCTTCAATCAACCACAAGAATAATATAGTTGAACAAATAGAGAAAATACTACGGCTCAATTATATAAAAACATAACAAGAATTTATCCTACAAAAGGTTCCATCAAAACCCTAGATAACAAATTAGCTATTCATAATAGTATGTAAAACTACAATACTAAAAGTCATAACCAACAATGAAAAATAGGAAGAGGAAGGAAAAACTCGTAGAAGAATTCCCCGCCTTGCTCCTATTGTGTCTCTGCCTCCTTAGGTCGAATCTGTGTCAAAAATATGTCCAACCCTTTAAAATACCATTTTTCCATGTATATATACCAAGTAGGGTCGTGCCCAAACTATTATACCTTCTCCTACGCGAAAAAGGACAATTTTTTCACGTCTGGACGCCGCGGCTGCGGTAAAACCACGGTACGACCGCGGTATATGGCAGGTATACTACCTCAGCCTGCCTCAGGTCCGCGGTCGCGGTTTCGACCGCATTTTTCACCCTGTTCAGTTTGGAATTTGTCAAAATGTAAAATATGAAAGTTGTAGCCCTTTGAGTTAGATTTCCAACCATATATTGTGGAGCCCAAATGGAGTTGTGAGAAAAAAGTTATGTGCATTTTACTAGATAGTGCGCAATATGCCTACTCGATTCTTCATTTTGTTGCTCTATCATCCGTTGATCCCTCAATACGATCCTGACTTAATTTCTTGGGGTTTTGCTCAGATTTCAAAGCTCCAAATCACTTGAATTCATTCCATAACATCTATATAGCTCGGAATCACTCCTACACGGCATAAAACACACACTTAGTGCAAAACACTAGCGATTAAAGCGCAAACTCAACTAAAGTGCAGTAAATTGGAGTGTAATAATCGACTAAAATAAGTAATTATAGCCTATCATCAGATTTCCATGCTGATATCCTTGCCACTATCTTTTCAATAAGTGGTTGCCATTGCAACAGAGATAACTTCTTAGTTGATAATGGAACCCCTAGATATTTAAAAGGTAGTTCACCTTCAATCAATCCCAATTCCTGCACAATTCTATCTCTATCTCCTCTGTTCACACCTCCAAAATAAATTGAACTCTTACCCAGGTTTTCTTTGAGGCCTGAAGCTGCTGAGAACTGATTGAAACAGTGTTGCATAGTAACCACCGATGATAAGTCACCTCTAGCAAATAGTAATAGATCATCAGCAAAACATAAATGTGTGATTGCTAGCTTTGAACATCTGGGATGATAATGAAATTCTGTCTTTTTGGTAATTCCTTTACACTCCTACTCAAGTACTCCATTGCTATAGCAAATAGAAATGGGGACATAGGATCTCCTTGTCTAAGACCTTTAGCAGCATTGAAAGGTATTGAAGGCTCCCCATTAATCAGAATAGTATAACTGACTGTTTTCATGCATTCTAGGATCTAACTGATGATCTGATTAGGGAATCCCAACTCCACCAAGACTTGTTCTAGATATATCCACTCCACTGAATCATAAGCTTTTTGTAGGTCTATCTTGATCATGCATCTTGGTGACACATGCTTTCTTGTATAGGCTTTCACTAGTTCATGTGCTAAAATAATGTTGTCTCCAATCTTCCTCCCTGGTATGAATCCTGCTTGTGACTCACTAATTATAGGGGCAATGACTGTTTGAATCCTTGCTGCTATAACCTTTGAGATCAGTTTATACATTACAGTGCAACAAGCTATTGGTCTATACTCCTTCACTCTTGTCATTTTTTGGCAGCAATGTGATAGCTGTACAGTTGATGGCATTGTACATCTTCCCAGTGCTGAAAAAATCTTTTACTGCTTCACACACCTCTTCTTTGATGGCACCCCATGCTTTTCTAAAGAAGGTAGCATTATACTCATCTATCCCAGGAGCTTTGTCTTCACCTATGGACTCAAGGCCTTGTTGGATTTCCTCTTCAGTAACTGAAGCTATTAGGGGTAGTTTCTGCTGATGTGTCAGTGTTGGTCCTCCCTTCATATTCATCTTGTTAATGGCTGGTAGTTCTTTTGCAGAAGATCCCATCAAGGATTTATAGAATTTCACAATCTCCTCTTGTATTTCTTTTGGCTCTGTAAGATTCCTTCCTTCTAGTGATGTGATCTCCTTAATGGTTTTTCTCCGACTCTCTCCTTAACCACAGCTGAGAAATACTTTGTATTTGAATCCCCTAATTTGATCCATTTAGCTCTTGATTTCTGTTTCATGATGTTATCCTCTATCATGGACCATTTTTTCAGATTCTGCATTGTAGTCCTTTCCTGTTCTATTAAATCATCTGACCATTTTGAAGTCAGTTGTTTATGAATTATCACTAATTCATTTCTTGCTTTGTCTATTCTCTGTGTAATGTTTCTAAACTCCTCATTATTCAGATGCTTGAATAATGATTTTAGTGCCTTCAGTTTCATCCATATATCTTTCATCTTCCAATTTGAAAACTTTTGTTGCCATACTTGCTTCACTATATCCTGAAACTTTTCATGATCAGCCCAAGTGTTGAAGAACCTAAATGGAACTTTGATATCACTCTGATTTGTCTGTAAAGCAAGCACCATCGAATTATGATCTAAGATTAGTGGCACATCATATTCCATCACAATATGACCACATTCCATCATCCATTCATGGTTACCAAAAGCCCTATCCAGTCTGCTACAAATTCTCTCCTTACTTTGTTGTTTATTAGTCCAGGTGTAGTAATCACCGGTCCATCTTACTTCATTGAGCAGTAATTCATGGATACAGTCATTGAAATCCTTGATCTCCCCATATTGTACTGGATTCCCATATAATCTATCTTGTGGATATAACATTGCATTAAAATCTCCAACAATTAACCATGGTATATTCATTCCTTGAGCCAGTATTTTAAGTGTATCCCACATACTTTTCCTTTCCTCACATGTATTATACCCATAGATTACAGTTATAACACATGTCTTATTTGATGCTATTGTATTAACTTGACAATGCAGTAATTGAGCTTCTTCTTTCAGCTTAGCAACTGTATATAATCTACTATCCCATAGTAGCCAAATTCTTCCATTGATTGCACTCCTGTAATTATTCAGAAACCCCCAGTTGGGATCCACATTAGCTGCCACAGTTGTTGCTTTGTGCTCTTTGACTTTGGTTTCTGTTATTCCTGCTAGGGTAATATATTTTGTCTTTATATATTTTCTCAGTTCCTTCTGCTTATACTTTTTATTTGCACCCCTTACATTCCAAAAAAGCCAATTCATTTGTTAATAACTAGTTCCACCTCCTTTGTCAGGAGGAGCTGATTTGGATCCACCATGGCCTCTATTCAACACTTCGAGCACATTCTTTGTTGGTACTGAACATAATATTGGAAACTCTTGTAGATTGAGTTCTGGTACCCTGTCTATTGCTTTTCCCTTGTCAGGGGTACTGATCCCATTTCCCCCTCTTTGTTGCTGATCCTGCACCGAGTCAGTTGCTTGTATCTCAACAACTTGCATGTGTTTACCATTTGCTTCTATGTTTCTAGCCTCTGTTCCTTCATCCTGGTTTCCTCCTTTGTTGCTGCTATCATGCTGCTCTTTTGGTTGTTCTTTTGTCACCCATTTCTGTGCTATTTTCTTGTGTCTTCCTTGCTTAGTTGGTTGCTCTTCATTGTATCTTTGGACATTCATGACCAATAACTTGACATTTCTCACAAAACATTGGCTTCCAGTCATATGATACAGCCTGTTGAAACACTCTGCCACTAGGATCCTTCACTTCAACTTGGTCTGGCAATGGCTTTGTCACATTAACTTCTACAAGCATTCGAGCATATGACACACGCATTTGCTTGGCAGTGCACTCATCTGCATACATTGGTATCCCTATAGCACTCTATCCTACTTTGTGAATTAATTCCCCAACAATTCGTTGATAAATTTGGGAGTTTAATCCATATTGGTATCTCAGTAGGGAACTCCTTATCAAAGTCAAAATCTGCAGTCCAAGGCTTCAAAATGATGGGTCGATTATTAATAGTGTATGGTCCAGTATATAGAATTTCCTGCATATCATCAATAGATTGGAATTTGATGATGAAATACCCTTCCTCATGCATAAACAGATCTGGATTTGCTATTTTGTTCCACTTGAGATCTACATATCTTCGCATGGCATTATACCCTGGACAATCCCCAATTACATAAGCAATTAGGGCTCATTTTCATTTTTCAATTTCCCGATCCACATCCTCCTTTTCCAATTGAATAACAACATTGCCATCAACAAATTGAGGAGCAATATAAGACAGAGTCATACCATTCTCTACCGATCTGTTCTTCGCAAAGAGACTCGCCCATTTCTGTGTTGGCTGTTGTACTGTAGCATGCAGTACTGTTCCATTGGGTTCATGAGGTTTCTCTTCCTCGACTAGCTTTGAATCAACTCTGACTGTTCCTTCAACTTCTTTCAGCTTCAATTGAGCTAGATCTGGGTTCAATTGAAGTTTCTTAGCAGCTGTTGTTCCTTTAGACGACGATCCTAGCTCATTCTGATTCAGCTCACTCATTTGCACTGGTGTTACTTGACTTTGTTCATCCTCTGTAGTTTCCGGTTGCATGCGTCCTCCAACTAAGCTTCCAAATGTGACTACTGGTAGTTTCCTAGGTCTGCCGCGTCCTCTTCCACGGCCACGACCTCGCTCTCCTGCCATGGCTAATCACGCCGGCGTAGGTTTACTAACATGCGCCGAGAGCATGAGAAGAGAGCAAACTATTTTTTTAAAGTCTATTTTCTCACTCGTAATGAGAAAATTGTAAATGCATAGGACATGAATAACAATCAAGTTCCATAGTAATATGAAGTTATTCAATATGTAAGCTCAGTTTTTGTGCATACAGTCAAAGTTATTGCATTTCATGTCAAGCTATGATTTGTGCATAAAGAAGCAATTTTGTAAGTCCGCTGAATTTAATCACAGACTAACTATATTCTTAATAATCATACAATACTTGAGATTATTTAATATTTTCTTCAAACACATTTACTTCTCGTTTTTTGTGTTTTTGCAATTTTTAGATTAGATTTTAGATTGAGAAATAATTCTTAAAATAAATAGAAAAAATTGAAGGATTTGCCCGCTCTAGTCAGGGTCGGGACTTTTGCATTTATAGCCGGTTTTGAGGTCATAATTGGACATATACCCACTTTGCAAAAGAAATTACAAGCATACCCACTTTACAATCAACTTCACACTTATCGGGTCTGAAGTTAAAAAAAATTAGTCTGAAGTGAATGCACTTAAGGCCAAATACATCTGAAGTGCAACCAATCGTTTCATGGACTTAAGACCAGTAAGTCTGAAGTAAAAAATTACACTTTAGATGCATTTAAGGCCAAAAGGTTTGAAGTGCAACAAACGTTCTCTTACACTTAAGGCCAATAAGTCTGAAGTGAAAAAATGCATTTCAGATGCACTTAAAGTCAAAAGGTCTGAAGTGCAACCAGCGTTTTCATGCACTTGAAGCCAAATAGGTCTGAAGTGCAAATTGCCCAGAAACAATAATTTGTTCTTCAAATTTTAACAATCCAATATACGATTTAATACCTAAATCTACTCTAAATGAGCTCAAAATTTGAAACATAACCTCCAAATATTATCAAGAACAAACCTCAATCCTCAAGTTGTCAAAATAACAATAAATATAACGAACCCATTATGCAATTAAGAAAAAGAAAAAAAGAAGAAACCCTAAGCAATAGTAGAAAATAAAGCGTCACAACACTGTAAAACATCATAAACTACCTTAAAATATGTTCACAATCACCATATAAAATCACTGTTACCAGAAGAAGAAGAAGAAGAAGAAGAAAGAGGAGAAAAAGGCCTGAAGTTGTTTAAACAGTGGGTACAAGTTAAAAAAAATTAAAAAGTGGGTACGGTTAAATGGGGGCGACCAAATATGGTGCCCCGTTCAATTTTTAGGTCAGGCTCCCTCTTAGAGTTGAGTTGGACTGGCCATTTTAAGGTTCCTTCCATAGATTTGCCCCCCCCCCCCCCACCCCAGCATCTAGCTCGTAAAAATCTATGGCCCGTGATGATTGAATTGGACTGGGCTGAGCTAGGCCGGCGCAATCCTAATTGACAACTCTTTTTTTATTGGAAATTACATTGTATAGTCGCTTTCAAAAATAATAATCAGTAAAAAATATATTTTTTGTATATTAATGTATTATAAACATATTTTATACATGATTAATGTAAAAATATAATTATTGTTGCCCGACCGGCCAAATATATAACTTGCTCTTTTTATTTTAAACTCGAACATGCTAATTATGTTCTTGAGAGAAATCTATTAATATATTTTATGCTAATTACGTGAGAGGAAACTTCAAAGTTTAGAGAACATATCAATGAAGGAATAAGTACTTGAGACGTGAGACTGATTTTTTCTCCCAATCCTTGTGTATTTAAAATATAATATTTCCTTAACTAAACTGATTTCAAATTGGGATACCGTTCCTAAGTAAACTTCCTAATTAACGTTGACCAATTAAATTATTCTCTAATAGTAATTAAGGAATTGCCTAATTACTCAGATTATGCTAATTAAATACTTGCCTAATTACTCAGATTATGCTAATTAAATAGTTTCCTAATGATATTAAACATATTTTAGTATATAATTTAATTGTTATTAGTCAAAGATGCTGTACAGGTAAGCATCCATGTAAGATAGATTAGTGTTACAAATACTTAATAGTAGTTAATTAATAGATGTAATAGTACTTAGTAATTAATAATATTAGTTTTATTACCAAAAAATAAAAAGCCCGTATAAATAAATACTTATTTGTTTAGGAAAGTGACATTATTAAAATCGATTTTTTTTAAAAATAACAGGACAATCACATTTTGAGAAAATATCAAATTAATGCCTAATAATATTTCCTTTGCGTACAATTATACACAAGGAAAGAATCATAACCGACCTAAATTGTTCATTCTATTTACAGTAAAAATGTGAATCCCAGTCTTAGTAGGAAAATATTCTTTAATACTTACTATCTTTAACTTTCCAAAATCAATACCAAAACATCCCTATAAAATCCTAAACGTTTTCTCAAAACATTGTCTGAAATTCACTTCTTTGGTAAAATTCATCATATACTTTTTCTTTTTCTCTTGGTGACTCGAATCCGCAACATGAAAAAGACTTTGGTTTACAATTTCATCCCAACAAAAGCAGAAGAAGAAGCATGTAGAGCTAGTAACACGCCGTGGATAGTGACTCGTCAAATAAAAGAAATTAGGGACATATACCCTCCTCCAATTATTGACTTAAAGGATCCGTGGCAGATTAAAAAAATCGTCACGCATTACGAGGCGGTCGTCGGGAAGTTGGTCGTGCCTTCCGCTGAAGCGTTTGAGCATATTTTTCGATATTGGACGGTGGATATGGCTAACGTTGTTGAGTCAGGACGCAAGAAGAATGTTGGTTTATGGGACGAAACTGATCAGAAAAACCCTAAGAAATATCATGATGAATTGGCTTATTTTGAGATGTTGCCTAATAATGATTATGCACTTGTGTGCTTGGATTTGTTTAAAGATCGTGGATTAAGTGTTGATGATGAAATTGGACTATATTGGGATCCTAGGTCCTCCAATTTTAAGTTTAAGTTATTTTGTAAGGGTCATGTTTAATGGGATTTTTGTGATGGTCTTTTTTTATTTTTTATTTGATATTCGATATTTATATCGAGACCAACTAGATCTGAATTCGCACCGAATTTAGTAAGGGGATTTTTGTGATGGTTTCACATTAGTTGTTTTCTTATTGTAAGGAGATTGAAAGATTGTTATACTTATATATATATATAAAAGATTTGTGGTGATTGGCCTGTGTTCTCTAGCAATAATATTAAAAAAGAATTCTATTATCTTTTTTTTTTTCTTAAAGGATTTTTTTCTTCTTTTTTCTCTGTTGTCTTTGCTTTGCAATATCATGGGTGATTTACTAACGTGATGTAAAACGATTAATATGAAGCTTTTAGATTGGGCAGTTGTTTAACTTTAAAAATAAAAAAAATAGAAAAAGATAGACCAAAATCTAAAGAATTACAATTTGAAAGAATTAGAATTAGATTGTATTGTCCAAAGAACCATAATTGATTATTGTTAGGGGTGAAAAATAGAGACGGATCTACTTTTTAAACTTAATAGGCTTGATATTTATTGTTTGTAAAAATTATATGTTGAAATTCTAGTGAA